GCCAGTTCCTGGAAGAGTTAACTCATTTAGCATGCTTTTTGTGGGACATATTGATGACACGGACGTGTTCGCAGCAGCTGTGGATGCTGCAGTAACAATGAGCAGAGGCAGTTTATCAGCACATCAGTTCTTTTGCTGGTATAAAAAGGAGCTTTAATTGGACTAATGATGATGGTCTCGATCTAATGCTGAAGCTATCTGGCCATCACAAAATTATCTTTGAGTGAGCTCATCTGTTTTGCAAGGAAGAAACTTATAATCTCCTAGGGTGGGAGATATGTTGGCTATTTATAGTCACTGCGTTTATTTGTAAGGAATATCTTGACTTCACAAGTGCAGTGCCACTGATCTCCCTAGTAAAGCATTTATCAATGTAAAGGGAGTTGTTTGCTATGGAGCCAGCCCCATGCTTACAAGGGCCGTTGAACAGATCTGCAGCGCTGCCTCTCATTTGCCTGTATAAGCAGGTGGTGAATCTGTGTGTCCTGAATGCGGAGCAGCCTGAGAGCCAGCCTGCTCTCTGAGAACGAGACAGGGAATCCGAGAAGACAACGCTCCTACGAACGTGGCTGTGACTAGCTGAGGGGAACAGGGGCGTTGGAGCAGCGAGGAGAGCGCTGCAGCCAGGCGGCTGAGGGAGGCAGGGTTCATCCTGCCCAGCTCAGGAGCAGGCTGCTCTTACTGCAGGGGCAGAGGTCACTTCTCACGTGTTTCCCGTCTGGTTCCAAGCTAGCTGGGCTGGGGTTAGCTGTTGGTATTAAGTGGTTTGGTTTTGCTTTCAGCATCTGCTGCCACGGGATGGAAGGACCATCCTGGTTACATTTGTGGGATTGCTGAGGACCGCAGAGCTAGCTGGAGACATCTCCCAGGGAGCAAACCTGCTGCCAGCAGGGGCAAGTGTGCTGTTAGTGAATCAGAAAGCAGAGGTGGCAGAGGACTAGAGCAAAGAGGGCTCTGCAGAAAGGGACCATGGCACCTGCGTTGCTGCTCTCAGCTTCCTGCCTTGCAGCTGCAGTGTCCCTCAGCTGTCAGCAAGCTCCTGGGCTGCTGCTGGCCCTAAAAGGATAATGTGACCTGTAGTCTGACTTTATTTTTTCTGCTTGGAGCATGCAGGAATAGAGAGGGGAGCAACACTCCCTTTTATGCTCTCTCTTTGCTTGCTTTCAGCCTGCTCTGAAAGCTCCGCTTTCCACCCCTGGGCTCGGTGATTGCACAAAGATAAGCAGATGGGTGCACAAGGTATGTACAGGATAAGCTCTGACCGTGTCAGCTGAAAAGGCCAGATATAATAGTGTTCCTTTAAAGCATAATCCTTCATGTCGTATCACACTTGGTTGTTATAGAAACCGTGACATCACCAAGATTTACAGCTCTGATCCAGCAAAACAGTAGAACATTTGCTTTTAATATAAAGTATGTGCTTAAATCCCAGTTATTTCTGTGGCATTGGTTGTGCACCTTAGACCAAAGCCTACACTTCAATTTTTTTTTTTTTCTAGATGAAAGTGATGTGGCCCCGTAGAACCCTCTGGCTGCTTTAGTTAAAGTGAAATCTGCCTGCATGTGTCTCAGTCATCAAAATTACAAATTCAGGACTGGTCTAAAGATAGTACAAATACAGGATTTTTTAAAGAGAATATGTTGGAAATTGAATGCTTGATTAGATTGCATCCCTGTCTCTGCTTCTGCAATCCGAAAAAGTGTTCCAGAATCACAGAATCACCTAGGTTGGAAGAGACCTCCAAGATCACCCAGTCCAACCTCTGACCTGACACTAACAAGACCTCCACTAAACCACATCACCAAGGAATTCTAATCACTTGAATAATCTGAGTTATTTTCATAACTAGCTCCAATGCTTAGAACATTGGACATTTTTTAGTTCTATTGAATGTATGAAGAGAATTCCAATTAGAAAACTCTAGAAAATGTGGAAATTTGGTTGTAATTTCAGTCTGACACAAGCACTCATGCTTGCAAGTTAAATAACTTCTGATGTAGCTGCTGACAGGGTATTTTGTGCTTTTCTTTAGAGGCTCATTTTCTGGATTGTTTAACAATTGCTATTATTATTTTAAGGTGTATTTTGTCACTCAAAGTAACTGAGAAAAGTATGAAAACATTCTTGTGTCTCCAAGAAAATAAACACAGACTGAAGACAGTTAGTGCCAAGGAAACACGCTGCTCTGCACATCTTCGATAGATGAAGGTGGCAGTAACCCCGCAGTGAGGTCGTGTGTTTGTGACTGCTTCTGCCAGCAGCAAAGCACAAAGATCCCAAAGGCATTGGCTTTTGTGGAAAAAAAAAGCAGGGTAATAAATGTGGCTGAGTCACAACTCACTTCCAGTTCAGAGGATGCTTGTAGACAAATCTCTGCTATTTCCTGAGCTCCACCAGCTGGTAAATCACTGCGTACTCCTAAAAGCTCCTCTTACCAAAAGCAACATATTTGTGAATGGAGAAGGGACTTGGAAATGTTCCTGGCTTATCTCCTTGCCTGGAGAGGAAGCTCTGAGCCTTTGTAGAACTATGTGAGGGTAAACCAGTAAGTATGCTGTTGATTTTGCTGACTCTAGAGTACCTGGACAAAAAGACAATCTTACCTCTAAAAAATGTCACTGAATAGTGTGGCTGATGTGAAGAATGAGTATTTATGGTCAGCTGGCTTGGCTCACGAGCCCAAGAGCCGTGCAGAGGGATAATTCCCCAGGTTAGTTGTTTGGGCTAGAATTACTGCATAAACTTCCTTAATTTAAGCCCTGATCAGCCGTCAAGAAGCTGAGGAAGAGCCAGGCAAAGGGCAGAGCAAACCCCTTCTCTTACCTGGGGGACTCAGTTTGGACTGACAGCTGGGTTTAAGACCCGTGCAGGGTTCCAGCACAGTCCCTTCAGTGCGTTTTAGGCATCAGACACAACAGCACTGAGTGTCCTGAAGGCTCCAGAGAAAACTGAGAGCACTGACACAGCCACTGCCGCCCTGCACAAGCATCTCCTGGTGCGGCCTGGGCGCTGCTGGCCCTGCAGGGCGCTGTGGGGCGCTGGGTGGCGGTGTCAGCTCGCTGCAAGGCACCCGGGCTGCCTGCACAGCCAGCAGCAATCCTCGCCAAGCTCACACCCAGCCAGGGCTGCTCGTGCTGTCAGAAATTGAAGCCAGTTACTTAGCCGTGTGGTGAGATTCACTTTGGGATGTGTCTGGCCAGAGCAGGTTTCTAAGCAGTCTCTAATGGGCATTTCTTGGCTACAGCTCGCCTTGCCCTGCTTGCCTCGCCACCCTGAAGCCGCAGCCTTTTCCTTTGGCCTTCCCCATCCTGCCCACCTCCATCCTTATCTCTCGTTTAGCTGCAGTGGTGGTGTGAGGCTGGTTCTCTGAGCCAGACAGCTCTTTCTCAGAGACTCAGGGGCACATTAAGTCTTGTCTAGAGAAGAAAATCATCCTGGTGAGTGTATTGCCCCGCTGCATCCTTGTAGGTGTCACACACACGCTGTGCCGTGTCAAGGTGGTTCTGTGCTGTGCCTGCAGCTAAGGTGAGTGCAAGCCAGATCTGGGATTGGAGCGTGTCAAAGAGGATCTGTGTGCACAGCCGAGGAGCTCGCTCTGGTGGTTAGCCCTTTTAAGTCACCCTTCACAGGTCTGTGCTCCGAGTCCCGCCCCTTGCTCTGCTGCTTGTTGATTTTCTGCTGAGATCACAGTGCAGTGCTGCAGGTACAGGTTTGTCTCCGTGGTTATCAAGGAGCTTTCCTTTCCTCGTGCCATGGCACTGACAAGCACCACCTGATGTTGTACTGACCTTGCTCTTCCTGCCCCTTGAACACATTGGCCTGTTTAAACTGTATTTAATATAAACATAGAACTAAAACCAGAAACTGTTCCACAAACTTTCTAAAACTCAGGCACTGACTACAGCCTGGGCAATAGCCGTAGAAGCTCGGTCTTGCCCTGTGTACAAACCAGAGCTCACCTGTATGAACAGGGCATTAGCCAAAAATATGGACTCCCTTTGGGAGCACTTCTTGAGGTGAGAAACTGGTGCCAGCCGTGGTTTTTAGGGTCCTCAGTAGGGTTCTGCTCAGTGTTCTCGGGCACCGGGCGGCCATGTTGGTGCCCAGGGCTCGCCGGGAAATGTAGTTCTCGGGAGAACGCACAACGCTGGGCTAAGCCTGATAAAAACAAACAAACAAACAAAACCGCAGCTGCTCCTCCTCCTGCTGCCTTGCTCCCTTCTTGTGCTCTGCCCCTCCCCTTCCCCCGGTGCTTGGGGTGGGTGCCAGGTAGGGTCTGGGAGTGTCTGAGCCGCAGGTATTCCAGCAGAGCTCTTTCTGCCTGAGGTGCTCTGCAGGTGGGAGCTTTGCTGCTCCTTCAGCCAGGGGCAGGGCTCCTCAGGGGAGGCAGAGCCTGCAGGTTGATGTGTTTCCCAGTGAAGAGAGGTTAGGATGTCTTTTTGAGGTAACAGCTAGCGGGATGTTTTAGAGTAAAGCAATCTGTGTAGTAGTAGGTGCCTTTACTGCACGCATCTCTTCTTCAGGTGAGTAGTTGTCACAGCACGCTTATGGATGGGAAGGTGATGTTACTTGGCGTGTTTGCTCTGTGGTTCTAGGTCCCTTATGATTTTTGCAGAATTAAGGGGCTTACTGTGAATGTGACCTTATGCCTTCACCTGTGTGTCAAATATTATCAAAGTCACAACCTTGGTGGTAAGGTGATGGAGCAGGGCTTAGGGAAATGTATCATCCAAGTTCCCTGTGCCAGTATCTATTTGAAAACAGCAACCGTAGGCACGTAAGGTGTAGTCTTTTTCAGGATTAGGGACAGTTTGTTACATTTTTGGAGCTTTTTCCTGCTGTTTTGCTGGCTGTAGAGACTTTAGACCTTGTAGCCTTATAGATTTTAAGTGCTTGGAATTCCCTTAATAGAGGGATGTTTAGCAGAGGTTGCTGGGTAACTTATTTTTGAGACATGGTGGGGTACGCTTCTGGTTTTGGGTTATGTTTTAATCTCTAGATATATCAAGCCATTTGCATAACACTCCAGAGGATTCACAAAGAGCTTCAGTACGCACCGCAAGGGGCTTGACCACGTGGGCACTGTATTGCCAAGAGACTGAGCAGGGTCGCCTTTTTCAGCTGTAAAGGGTAAGTCTGTGATGCCCCCTGTTGGGGCTGCTGTGCATTCATGGCCTGTTGGCATTTGTGGACCTGAGGGTTGTGGGTTTTTTTAATTTTTATTTTTTTTCTGTCTCTGGTCTCTGTGCTTGAGTCCTCTGCAAGGAGCTGTCCTGTTTGCGTGTCCATCACAGGTATGACATTCTGTTTTTGTTTCTCGTAGCCCAGGTCATAGAATCATAGAATATCCTGAGTTGGAAGGGACCCATAAGGATCATCAAGTCCAACTTCTGGTCATAGGCATGGACTAAGCCAGAAACTTGAATGAGCCAGGCGGGTGAGTGGATGGCACTGTGGGTCAAGAGTTGGTCAGTTGGTTTCGTTAGTCCGTTTTGCCTGGTGGGCAGGCTTGGCAAGCACCTTGTGACAGCAGTGTCCATCTCCTGCTACGTTCCTGTGTCACGTCAGATGTCAGCGGTTCCAGTTCCTGAAATGCTGGAGATGCTCAAAGTGCAAGAGGAGCAGGGAGTGTGACGCATCTCTGGGAAGTTAGGTGAGCAAAGCAGTGGTATTGGGTTGGAGGACGTGGGTCTGGGGCTTGGCTACTGGGGTAGGGGAAGAAAGAAGAGGAGTGGGTATAGACTGTTCTGTGGATTGTCATGTTTGTTCTTTCTCCTTGGTCTAAGTCACATGACCTTGCCTCGGCATGGCAAATGGAAGCGCCAAACCTGGATCAGGAAGGTGAGTGGAGAAAAGTTGGAAAACGGGCATAGGTTTCAGTTTGGTAGTCTATCCGCCCCCCTCTAGGTGACTCCTCTTTTCAGGGGATGAAGAAGAAACTGTCAACATCCTAGCTGGCCTCTGTGGTCCACGCTGAGGATGGATTCTGACCCTCTGAGAAGTAAGTCAAGGGGCAGATACTGTGTGTGAGGGATGGTTGGCAGGGGGGTGGGGAGTTGTCTAGCAGTTGTCTATCTGGCTGAGTAGCAGAGCAGGGCAGTTGACTACTGTTTTGCTTCTCAGGAGGGTGTTGCATTGGAAGAAGTTTGGCTGGCGTGCCTGATGGCACTCTGTTTCTGCAGGTGAAGAGGAGCCTTGTGTCTGAAGCAACATCCTGGCTAGCCTTTGTGTTCCTTGTTGAGGATGGAACCTGCCTCCCAGCATTCCCAAGGTAAGCTGGGGGGCAAATGCTATGTTTGGGTCAGGGTCGTGAATGGGCACCCAGCAGGGTATGTGCTTTGAAGTCATTGCAGTGGATGGGGCCTCTCAGGATTGGTCGTGGTCAGGCAGAGAGGGTGTGGGGGGGTCTGTCAGGTACAGCATGAGCTCTGCCAGGCAGGGCAGTTCCAGCTTGGTGTCTGTGTTCTGTGTTGTCTGTGCTGTGCTGTTGCTCTTGGTGTGGTCTGGGCGCTGCTGGCCCTGCAGGGTGCTTCGGGCTGCCTCCTGAGGGTGGTGTGGGAGCTCCGTGTCTGGTGTCAGCTCGCTGCAAGGCACCTGGGCTGCCTGCACTACTGGCAGCAATGCTTTCCAAGTCCAGGCCTTGCCAGGGCTGCTCGTGCTGTCAGAAATTGAAGCCGGGCTACTTAGTGGTGTGCCGAGATTCACTTTGGGATGTGTCTGGCCAGAGCAGGTTTCTAAGCAGGCTCTAATGGACATTTGGCTACAGTTCACCTTGCCCTGCTTGCCTTACCACCCTGAAGCCGCAGCCTTTTCCTTTGGCCTTCCCCATCCTGCCCACCTCCGTCCCCCCTTGCTGGCCGCTCTGGGGCAGCTCTGGCACGCTCTGCAATTGCTGCCCAGGGATGTTGTCTCCTCCATCACTGCACCAGTAAGTTTGGTCCAGCATTCAGGTCGTGTTTTCTCCTTCCCAGTTTATTTTTCTTGCTTAAATCCCCAGTTGCCTCTCTGTCTCAATGCTCAATAATTCCTGTCTTTACTTAGTGCTCGCAGTGCTTGGAAGCCAGAACACAAACGCAGGATCGTGCATTACATCCACTTCTGGTTACACTCCAGTCATGTGCTAGTGTGGTGGAGGGGATGATTAAGATCCTTCAGCTGCTTGCCTCCAGCCTTTCTGCTCTCCTCCTGTCCCCATGGGCATTAGGATATCTCTGTTTAACTATCGTTTAGCTGCAGTGTTGGTGTGAGGCTGGTTCTCTGAGCCAGACAGCTCTTTCTCAGATACTCGGGGGCACGGTAAGAGTCTTGTCTAGAGAAGAAAATCATCCTGGTGAGCGTATTGCCCCGCTGCATCCTTGTAGGTGTCACACACACGTGCTGTGCCTGCAGCTAAGGTGAGTGCAAGCCAGATCTGGGATTGGAGCGTGTCAAAGAGGATCTGTGTGCACAGCCGAGGAGCTCGCTCTGGTGGTTAGCCCTTTTAAGTCACCCTTCACAGGTCTGTGCTCCGAGTCCCGCCCCTTGCTCTGCTGCTTGTTGATTTTCTGCTGAGATCACAGTGCAGTGCTGCAGGTACAGGTTTGTCTCCGTGGTTATCAAGGAGCTTTCCTTTCCTCGTGCCATGGCGCTGACAAGCACCACCTGATGTTGTACTGACCTTGCTCTTACTGCCCCTTGAACACATTGGCCTGTTTAAACTGTATTTAATATAAACATAGAACTAAAACCAGAAACTGTTCCACAAACTTTCTAAAACTCAGGCACTGACTAGAGGAGAGAAGCTGCTCCCCGCCTGGGCAATAGCCGTAGAGGCTCGGTCTTGCCTTGTGCACAAACCAGAGCTCACCTGTATGAACAAGGTATTAGCCAAAAACATGGAATTTTATCTATAATATGTTTTTTCATTAGATAGTTTGACGTAAATATCGCAGGATATACATGGCAGGATAGATTCTGAAACCAGCCACAGCATCTGCTCTGTCTCATCTAGCCAGAACTGATGGTGGAAGTAGGAGGAAATATGGAGAATCCTGTGCAAAGTAAGAAGTGAGAGACATGGGAAGGAACTGGGAAGGGGTGAGGGGTTTTACAGCATGATACCAAGCAAGATGCAGTGGTATGGTGGTATAAAACCAGAAATGTGTAGGAAACCAGGAGTCACTAGGTTTGTGGCTTACAAATCAAGTGGTTGTTTTTGTTCTTACCATTTTATTTTTTTTGCACCTCTTGGAATTATTTTGTCTTCATTTTATGCAGAATGCCTCTCTGTTAGCTGATAATTTCGTTAGTCATAGTTTCTTGTAGATCATTGTGAAAGTCTTGAGATCCACTCTAACACAACACTACCACGATCCATTTAAAAATGATAAATACCTTTCCCTGCTCATTAATTTTCTATTTTTATTCCTTGATCACAATTGTTAAACCGGTTCCCAAACTATGTGGGTGCTGTACCAAAAGAAAATTGAATCAATGTTATTTATGGATTGTTGTGATGCAGTCTTTCAAAATTTTTTTAAAAGCCCCATATGTAGGTTCTGCTACATCCCTTTTATTATATCTCTGATTCTGATTCACAGACTTTAATTCTGTGGGAAGTACCACTCTTTGTGAAGGGCAAATAAAACTACTTGTGAGTCTTCTATCCTTCATCTGTTTTAGTGGCTTTTTGTGCTCATAATTTGTTCCTAGTGGAAAATGTGTGAGGTTTGCAGAATGGCAGTTGCTAGGGTCATTCTTTTCCAAGGTTTGTTCTTGCATTTGTTTCTCTGAGACTTCTGGGTTTGTGACTTTTTTCTCAGTAATCAGGTAACCTCTCATGCTGCAGGCCATCTTTGTAATGGAGAAAAGTATCTCATCTTCTGTCCTTCTTTTACCTGTAAAGATAAGAGGATTACTTTTTAAAATGTACTTGGCCACTTTTTTTTGATGCTGTATCACCAAGCTTGTATTGACATTTGAAGGTTCCTCGATGCAGAGTATGTCAAGGATCCCTTACCAGCTCCTGATAGGTCTTGACCTGTGCTCTCTGGGGCCCTGCGAACTCCAAATCAGAGAGTGGTTGAAGATCTCTGGCCTAGCTCACCAGTATTTTGATTCCTATGGATGCTGTATGACCTTGGTAAAGCATGGCCTGTCCTGTTGGGATGACGGCAAGAAAAAAGTGTCTGTGAAGTGCACTTGGGAGCAACAGAACTGACATTAACCCCTTCCCATAAAAACCTTTAGCATGAGCTCTCCACCCAGCGATGGACTTAAGTTTATGCTGCTGATGGACAGCATAAGCAGGACACATCCCAGCACTGACACCAGCTCACTGCGTAGCCTTGGGAAAGTCTTAAAGGCTGGGTCAGAAATTAAATTAGCTGAGTTACTGCAGTGGTTAGACTGTGGTTGGCTCCGAAGACTGTCTGTACACCTGGTTCTGCAATGTCCCTAACTCCCAAAATGTATTTGACCTCAGTGAGGCAGGATCGCATGCCAGCTTTGGTATGATACCCGTAATGTTTGTATTGGTGCAGCACTTTTGACGTTCTGCAGAGTGTTTGACTGGGGACAGCACTGCCATGGGCACTGCTTTGCTTCCCCAAATCTAAACTTATCTACAAAAAGTAGTAACAATAACTGAGAAGCCCTGCACGCTGTGTGTGTGGTTGCTGAGCTCTGCTTGATTTGTCTTTTCTAAACTAAGTGATGTGGTGACATCTGTCTGTGCTTGCAGAGTCTGAAAGCAACAGCTCTGACCTGCCCTGTTAATCTCAGTGCCTGCCAACCTGGATGCTCTGTGCTAATACTCTAAATATTGACCGAGTTAACTATTTTGCTGCCTAGCAAAACAAGGAAAGGGGAAGAAGTTGCACATTGAGCTATGGCTAAGATTGCATCTCAGTGCTGAGTTCTTGATCTGGGGATCTGTCCATTTCCCTGTCTTCCCCTCCAGCCAAAGGTGTTCAGCAGGACTGAGCCTGCCATCTGACCTCTGTTCCTATCCATCCCTTTTAAGCTTCTGTGATGACAAGGGAAGCTAAGCTTGCCAAGACCTGTAAGGCTTAGGACTTTATGGATCCCAGGAAGGGGTGTGAGGCTTTTGAAATGCAATTCTGTAACTGTTGCAGTCTTTAAAAGTAAAGTGGGTATTTGAGGAGGTAAGCAATATCAGGGTCTGCTGTATACTGAATTTCTTGAAACTGTATTGTCCATCAAACGCACTGACACTGTTTTTCTAAAATGCTTTGAAAGTGACTTCAAGTGACTGAAGCTATGACTTAGATGCTCCAAGCTCAGCTGTGCCTTCATGTCAGCTTCTATGGTGATCAAGACAGGTTGGATTGCATCTTGGAGAAGCAGGATCCTCTTGACTCACTGTCTTTCTGCCTGTGCCAAGGTTCCAGGTAAGGTTTCCTGCCATATGCTTCTCTATGTGGGTGTATCAGCCATTATTTGTCTTTTCTGGTCTCACGTTCTGATGCTACCTGGGAAAACCTTAAAGTATCTCTTCAATCCCAAGATCAGTTATTATCAAGTTACCTAATAAGTACCAGGGAAAAGAAACAAAGAGGGTTATGAAAGTATGTTACCTTCACAGCAGAGAGGTTTGGCCAAAGTGCAGAGCCCAGGAAGAGGAAATCTAGATGCATGACATCATGGAAACCACTCTCTATTTATCAAACATCTACAGGCAGGAAGAAAGGTAGAAAAAAAGTGGTGCTTTCAGGCAGTATAGATCAAGGAAACCAAAGAGCATCTGTAATTACTGGAATCTCATACAGTGCTCTTGAGGGTCTTTACCGCTATTAATTTCCTTTATTACTCAGAGATGTCAGGTCTTTCCCCACGTGCATTCGTTTTGGTCTTTGGGAAATTCAGGATTTCCTGAGTCACCTTGTGACCAATGTAAGATTCATGTTTAAGCCCTTTGGCAAGTCCCTGAAGGAAGGAATAGGAATGAATCAGACATGATGAACAGCTCTTTGCACCTCTGCAGCAGTTTCTGTATTCCAGACAGCAAGGCATCCCCGATGTGTTCTCAAGGTCTTTAACACAGAAATGAATTCGCAGGCAGAGCTATGCCCTCCCAGCTTGCACAATGCCTGCTAAACATGGAAAAGCGCAGCAGAATTTAGGGGAGTGGTGGCAGTGCAGCTGCATGTTGCTTCTTGAAGCCTGCAACAAAAAGGCAGACTGAAGGAGCTGGGGAATGTTCTCTACCAGACTTAAACAGCATATGGCTTGCAGGACGCACTTGGCCGATTAAGCAGTTTGTTTGGCCTGCCAGATGGCCAGGAGACACCATGATGTTTGGATCTTTGGGTGCCTGAGAGAGGTTGTCGTGCCTTCCGCCAGCCAGCCAGATAGCACAGCCGTGGCAGCCTCCCTGCCCACCAGCACACCCGCACCTCGCCACTGCCCAAACAGGTGGGGGGTGCAGGCAGAGGAGGGGCAGCACAGGAGAGAGGCAGGTGGGAATGCTGAAGGAGGACGAGGAGAATGGAAGCCCAGAGGTAGGGATGGACAGAGGCAATTCTGGGGAGGGCATGACGAAAGGTGCGGTTTGAACTCACTAAGCCTCCCTGCTGCGGTGAGGCGTTCTAGGCCAAAATCCTATCGTCTGAGCGAAATAGGGCTGAGTCACCAAATACACTTCTCTGCTGTTTCACGCATCACATCACGTAATGCCTAACAAAGTCTGGTTTGTTTGGTTTTTCTTCCAGTGTTCCTATAGAAAGGCTCTTCCAGGCCTTCCTTTTTTAATAGGTAGACTTGTAATTTTCTGCTGTTTGTTTATGGAGTGTATGCCCTTTGCTTACGTCTTCCCTTATCTCTCTAAGGTCTTCACTTTGCCCGATGACACATTGGCAGACAGCTGTCATATCCGCTCTCTGTCCTTGCTTTGCAGACTAAAGAGTCTGAGCTAACAAGACAGTTCAGCCCTTCTAGGAAGGCTGAGTTGCACACACTTTACAATAGGCACCTTTCAAATGATACTCAGAAAAACAAAACAAAAAACAGGTCTTTCAACTCTCTTTGGACTTTCTGGTATCTTTCATTCAGAGTTTTTAGCTAGTGTCAATCCTTCCTGGCTGGTTTTGCAGCAAAGTATGTTCTTTGCAGCTCTCTTTGCTGGAAGGACAGATTTCAAGCCCACAAATCAATAAGATGTCCATATGCTGCCATGTGGAGTTGGGCATGTGCATGACTGTTTTTCTGGATCAAGATTAGAGTTCTCACCACTTGAAAAGATTCAGTCTGTGGTTTGTGAAGCGCTGCCAGTTCCTCTGGAATTAAAGATTTATATAAAATATCAATGTTTAAAAAAAAAAAAAAAAAAGGAAGCCTTTCCCTCTTCCAGCTTTGTGTGTGTGTGCACGTGGTACCTCGTTAATTAAAACTGGTTGGGAAACAAGAGGGACTCTGCAACACTGCTCCCTGTAGTGCGTAGCCCCTTGGTGCTGTTTGAGCGTTGCTCCTTGTCCCCAGGCGCACAACCGTCTGTGGACAACGCAAAGACGGAAAGTGACAAATAAAGGCGAGGACAGGGGGTGTCCCCGAGAAACAGGGGCAGCATCGCTTCGTCCCTGCACGCAGTGAGTATTCACTTGCCTCTACTCTCAGGCTTCGCGGCGCTTGTCTTTGGGTAAACCGAGCGAGCTGTTCCCGAGGCACTGGGGAGCGAGGCTCGCACTTGTAGCGAGCTGCTGGGGCTGCACCCGAGCGGCTCCGTGCGCGGCCCCCAGGCGCGGGGCCGAGGGGAGCGGGGCTGAGGGGCGGCCCAGGTGAGCGCCGCGGGGCGGGGGCGGCCCCGGGGGAGGAGCAGGGCCCGGCCCGGCCCCGCCGCGCTCCCCGGGCAGCGGGAGGAGGCAGGGCCGGGCCGGGCCGGGGCGGGGCGGCTGGCGCGGGGCTGGCCCAGCCCGCCGGGGAGGGAAGGAAGGAAGGGAAGGAAGGAAGCGGAGCGGAGCGGGCTGCGCCGCTGCCCTTTGAAGCGAGCGGGCGGGCGCCGCAGGCCGGTCCCGAGGCAGCCGCCGCCGCTCTCGCCGTCTCCGCGCCGGCCGGGGCTGCCCCGGCCCCCCCCCGCCCGCCGCCATCTTCCGCCCCGCGGGCAGGGCCAGGGCCGGGGGCAGGGGCAGGGCCGGGGCCGGGGCCGGCCCGGGCAGAGCAGCCGCGGGGGCGAGGCGAGGCGGCGCAGGCCCGGGCCCGGAGCCGCAGCCGGAGATGAGGCCAGGATGTCGGTGTCAGGGCTCAAGGCCGAGCTGAAGTTCCTCGAGTCCATCTTCGACAAGGACCACGAGCGCTTCCGCATCGTCTCCTGGAAGCTGGACGAGCTCCACTGCCAGTTCGTGCTCCTGCCGCCGCCGCCGGGCTCCGGCCCGCAGCCGCCGCCGCCGCTCACCATCCACTGCAACATCACGGTGCGGGCCGGGCCGGGGCCGGGCAGGGCAGGGCAGCGCAGGGGCCGCCCTCGCCATTGTGTGCGGGGCTCGGGCAGGGGGCGCGGGGGGTGACTCAGCAGCCGGGGCCGGCCGGGGACCTCCGCCCGCCCGGGGCCGCTTCCCCGGGGGGCTCCGCGCTCCCCTCCCGGCCCCGCCGCGGCGCGCACAAAAGTTGGCAGCGCCCCGGGCCCCGCTCCCCGCCCCGCCGGGCAGCCCCGGGCCGCCGCACGGAGGGGGCAGGAGCCCGGCCGGCAGCGGGGCAGCCCCGCTCCGGGCCCCGGCGGGGCGAGCCCGGCGGGCAGGCGGGGGCCGGCGCTTTGCTGAGTGCGCCACACCGCCGCGGCCTGCGGCCCCGGGCCCGCTCCGCCCCGGGCCGGGCGGGGAAACGCGGCTGGGGGCCGGGCTTCGCTTCCCTTCCTTCCCTTGCTTTCCCTTCCCGTCCCTCGGGGCTCAGGCCCTTCAGAAGTTTAATTCTCCGCGCACGGTCAGGGCGCCCTCGCTCCCCTGCCCGGCAGCCGCCTTCCCGTGACGGTGGCGGTGAAACTCGTGAGGGGGCCAGGAGCAGCCCCCAGGCTGAGGGACCCCCGTGTGTGCTTTGCCTTGGGCCGTGGCTCTGTTTTTTTCTCAAACTTTCCTATAAGGAGTCGGGGGGGGGGGGAGAGTAAAATGTTCAGTGTTGTTTGCTGTGGTAAAATCCTCTGTTTTTAAAAGTTACTGGTTAGGGCCTAAATTTGCCAGAGGATTTGGCTGGTGTGGTATCTGTGACTCATGGACAGGAAAGCGCTGGAGGTTTGCTTTTACTGGACTACCTCTGCGTACAGGTGAACTTAGATGCATCATCTCTGTTCAGCTTAAAACTATTGAAAAGTTCTGACTGGGTGAAAATACAGTTAGTATCTTTGGGTTGCATAAGCTCTCAAGGCTCCTTTTGTCTGTAAGAGAATGAAAGTTTCAGACTGTGGGGGTGGAACCACGCATGTAAGTCTAAATACCTGAGTACTGAAAGGTGAAAACATGCATGCAAAGCAGGCAGAGCTCGTAATCTTGGTAGGAGCCTGGCTTGCCATACGGTAATAAATTGAAGGGGACGTGTTAAGGGAACCTTCTCATGACAACTAGCTGTGAAACCTAGAAGTCAGTGCTGTGTTTGTAGGACAGGTGTTCGTGTTCGCTGACTCTGCTGCAAGACATAAGATGTTGTTACTGGTAAAATGAGCAAGTTACTTTGGTGTTCTTGTTTTTAGGAACGGCATATCAGACAACAGATTGAATAAATAATATTTAAAGAAAGTCACACAATAGGGAGTGTTTCATTACTGAGAAGTCTGGCTGTCTGCCCCCCCAGCATGATCTATTTCATAAATATCTTCTTTAAGAATTAAATGAAACACCTGATGATTGTACACCCTCAGCAGGCAGTTGATTTCAATGGGTTATGTCTTCTTGTCAAGTGACAGCTAACAGGGAAGCCCAGCAGTAAGGCCTAATGTTTTTGTGCCTTGGATTTGTGCTGCTGTGTATTTTTGCTTCTGTTTTGTCATAAGTATTTCTGATGGTAATTCTTGCTTATTCTGCATCGAGATATGCCCTCCTGCTTGTAGGCCTTTGGTTGAGGTGTGCCAGAGCAACCAGGAAACAGGCTTAGGTCACAGTTGGTATTTTTATGTGTCATTGAGGAAACTGGTTCTGTAGTTGGCCACTGCAGTTGCTTGCCCTAGAAGTCCAGAGATCTTTTGTGTGTCATTAGAATTGTGGCATGCATGCTTCCAAAAAGAACAGGAAAAGAGCTGTTTCAAACCTTAGAGCCAAGGCTGCTGCTTTGAAAAGAAGCTGTATCCGAGATACTTGAAACTTGTGCCTCACAGTTGTCTGTGAGCAGCTTGGTTCTTTCCAGTGTTGATTAATTTTTGGCTCTTTGAGGTAGGTGGCTATTTTCCCCCTCTGCTAAAAATAAATGGGAGAGGGCAACTTGAGATACAGAGGATGGTTCTCTTGATACAAGTGGGAAGCTTGCGAGAGAGCCAAAAAGAGAAAGCTGTCCTCTGGACTTCTGTCCTAGTCTTTTGACATAAGTCTTAAAGCTCAAAGTGTGAAAGAAGTTCTGTTTGTCTTTCTTCCCTCCCTTCCCCTCCCCCCCCCCACACACAAATTGAGTCTATTGGCTCTGACTCCTAATTGCCTCCAGTTTGTTTTTTTTTCTGTAGGTACTGTAAGTGAGAAAGGTGTAAGTCTTGTTAACTGTGCTTCATTTGGTGTGCAGAGCTTCTGGAGAGCTGAATCAAGGTACTGTGGGAACTAGAGCTTCAAATGATGGTACTAAAATAAGCTGGTAAGACTATAAAGATAGCAGTAAAGGTTTATTTGAGGAGATTCACTCTCTGCCTCAGAAGCAGTTGCCCTCATGCTCTGGGTGTGTAGTGAAAATATGTAACTTTGTTTGTGTGCTGCTTGTAACCAGTTCAACCTCTAGAATAATGATAAAGTCTTCAAGGATGTTTCTCTTACTCAACAAAAGCTTACATTAGTTTGAACATCTGGTCACTCAATGCTATTAAGGGGAAGAAAAAACACAAAGGTGAATAATTGCTTTTATTCTTGTTGGTTTTATTTGGGCGCCTTAATATTCTAGCTAAAGTGAAAGCTGTCTAGCAGTATGTACAGGTGCTGAAGTTACTGGATGGAGAAAAGTCTGGTAGGGAAGGAAGCTTCCAGTAGCTTCTGCGCTAAGTCTGAAAAGAGATGTGATAACTGAGTTACTCTGATCCTCACAATGGATCTCTTTCTTTTTTCCAATCTAGAGAGAGAGAAGGCAGAGGAAGGAGGAAACATTCTCCTGGAGAGGTGAGGGAGAATATCTGCTTAGGAACTGTATGGATCTCTACCAGTGTCCTTGACTAAATTCCAAGGTTTGATTAGAAGTCTGCCGTGGAATTTCTATGATATTCTGATTGCCTGCATTTGAGTTTGCAGAACTGTCAAAGTTAAGCATTTGCTGCAGCATCCTAGGGACAGTCTACCTGTGGTACTGAGCAGTGCTTCTCATTGAAGCGAGGTACACTTCACTTGATAGCTTTCTGTTTTGTGAAGTGACAGGCAAGCCTTGTGAAGGTCTGTCTTTCCTTTCTTCTGGCAGTGATCTATGTTGGAATTTAAGTGGTTAATCTGATTATTTTAAGAGGCACTGTAGGGTGGAGTCATCTCTGTCAGAAACATTGCTTCTTATGCCTCAGAACTATCTAATTATTGAACTTGTTCAGGCTGTGTACCTTCACATTCCCGTTCTGTTATGCCAACAGCAGTGTCTCCATTCTGGAGTTTTATTTCTTTTTTTTTTTCAGGCTTCCTTTTCATTCGTGTAACAGCAGTGTTCCAATTAATCGAGTTCCATAAACCAGTGTTCTTTACAAAGCATTTTTATTTATCCTGGTCATGCATGTCTTTTGAATTAGTGTCAAATCAGTGGCTTTACTCAGAGTAGTGTATTCTTGATTATTTAGGTCAGTGCACTCTTATTGGTACCTTATCAAACTTACATACCAGTATTCCAATTCCCCTATTATTGGGGGGAGAGAGGGGGAAACCATTTTGGACTCCTAAAAGTGGAGGAGGAGTACATTCCCCCTCCCTAAAGCATATTTTTGATCTGCAGAGAGGCTTGATGATAGGATCTCTCCGCTCATACACAAAATTTCCATTGAATTCTGTGTCCTTAAGTACCACTTGCAAGGTAGGATAGGGTTTGTGCCAGCTCTGTGTAGGTGCAGATTTTGCCCAAACAGATGCCGGGTTCTGATGTGTAATGATATCCCTTGTACATTTACAATTCAATCCACGTGATATGCCTGACTTCGGTATGCTCTTGCTTCCCTGCTGTAAAGAAGTATCTTCTGCTTTCACTGAAAAATGCCCTGCTGCTAAATCAGTTGAAGATCCTAAGAAAGACTTGAAAAAGGTGCTGACTACAGATAATTGCAGTTGATGGGAGGAGACTGTTCTCCCTTCCGAACCAGAATGGATGAAAACATCTTACCTTTGAAACTTCTGACAAGTTGGGTAGATACAGAAAGTGAGTATATTAGAGCATATGATAGTTCTTCAAAGGCATAAGATCTTAATATCAAACACTCATAGCCTAGACAGCTGATAAACTTTTATAAAGGCTATTTATTTGTACACAGAACTAACCACGTAATGAATGAGGCTTCCTGTTCAAGCCACAGAAGTTTTTTTTAACATCACCACATGTTCTGTAGTGAGCTTGAGAAATTTGTCTTGCAGTCTATGGATACAAGGATTAAATAAAAGCATACAGAGCTCTACCTTCATAATGCATGCTTTTCTGACTCTCATTAGGTATGCTTTCAGTTTTAAAAAAGGCACTTGAGTAACTTCTCCAAGATAACACTTAGGCAATAGATGCTGAGAAGTTCGGTCTTGTTTTATTTATCAAAACAAAATTAAATAAAATGCAAAGAGTGAGGATGCTAACTGCTGTCTGTCCCAAGACTATGATTGGAAAAGGAATGATGTGAGAAGGAGAAATCCTTCATCTCTGGAAGACATAAGACCTTAGTGTCTGTTGCCACAGCTTACTTGTGCTATGTGTGAAAAGCTGTAGCTAGCACTTAAGAACTTTGCAGGTCAGTTTTGTTCTTCCCTCTCTAATGTGTGAAGTGCTCCTAAAATATCCTAGAAAGCCCCAGTGGTGGGCTTCAAATACAAACACTAGCATATGTTAAGGCTTTATTCTACAGGAAATTGCCCTTACTACAGATGGGTTGCTTACTGGAATTTCTTGTATAAATGGTTTCAGAACTGGGACTGTTTGTGGTCCTCACAGGAGCTCTCCCTGCCTTTTGATAATTGAAAGAGTTTTATAAAAGAACTATATTCTCTCTATTCAGCTTGCTGCTTTAACTGTTCTAGGAGGTTTTTGTCCAAGATTGAAAGATGCCTGCTGATTTTCCTTAATATTCAGTAACTTTAAAGAAACTAAAACTGCGGGCGGGGTGACTTCACTGACTTCACAACAGTCATTTGATGTTTTGTGATGGTTGCATTTGATTTGTATTGTCAACAGTATTTGTCAAAATAGGGAGCTGGCATTACCTTTCTTATCCTATAGCAAGGAAGAATACACTTAACTTTTTTTTTTAGTTGGGAGTGGGAGGTAAAATTCTTCTGTCAAAGCTTTCTGTCACTGAAATAGGAATAAGGGAGTAGTATATGAGGTGTGTCCTATTCTCCAAATAAAGCTGCACTTCCAAATTCACTATGGCAGTCTGTCTGCAGTGGGACACTGTAAAATCAGAAGTTATTAATGGAGTTGATCGCTTTTGCTCTCATAAAGTAACTTCTTTCTGTTGGACTTAAACTAGAATGAACCTGCAGGTATTTGGTCTGTCATATGCCTGTGGATATTGGTTATTGATGACATGTTGGTACCCTCAAATGTGTATTAAAAATTAGGGTTGATAGGAAGAACAGAGTGTGATTGGGTCCTGTGCGCTCTGTAATCCTGCTGATCCCATAACAGCAAAGGCTGTGTGCCTTGTGAGGTGGCCAGAATTGATTTTACTGGATTAAAGACCTGGCTGGCACATAAAAATTCTTTACTGGGTCATTGTTAATCTGGATCGCTTCCCAGTCTGCTTCAGCGTGTGGCTGCACAGACAGCTGTACCAGCACAACAGAGGGCAAAGGAATGAGTGAATGCTGGGGAACAGAGCCGCTTGTCTGAGCCCGCAGTGGTACTTGGGATCGCTCCTGTGTGGGGAAAACCTGAGCTGGTGTCAATCCCGTGGGTTTACACGGGTGTCTGGTCTGTGACAGTGATGCCTAAATTGAGAGAACTGGACTTGAACAGTCAAACTGGAATTAGAGTTTACCTGTAAAATCAAATTCATTTCAGGAAAATAGAAGATGGAGACAGTTCTCTGGATAGTGTTTGAGCTGTTTTAAAAATGGCAGTAAGAGTTAAAACTTCTGAATAGGAACAAATGGAGGGCCTGGAGAACAAGTCCTACGAGGAGCGGCTGAAGGAGCTGGGCTTGTTCAGCCTAGAGAAGAGGAGGCTCAGGGGTGACCTTATTGCTCTGTATAAGTACATTAAAGGAGGCTGTAGAGAGGTGGGTGTTGGCCTGTTCTCCCATGTGCCTGGTGACAGGACGAGGGGGAATGGGCTAAAGTTACGCCAGGGGAGTTTTAGGTTAGATGTTAGGAAGAATTTCTTTACTGAAAGGGTTGTTAGGCACTGGAACGGGCTGCCCAGGGAGGTGGTGGAGTCACCATCCCTGGAAGTCTTCAAAAGCCGTTTAGATGTAGAGCTTAGGGATATGGTTTAGTGGGGACTGTTAGGTTAGAGGTTGGACTCGATGATCTTGAGGTCTCTTCCAACCTAGAAATTCTGTGATTCTGTGAAATATTGGTAGAGGCTGATGAACAGAAAGAACTGCTGTTTTAGTTGTGCCTCTGTGGATTACTGTGCAGTGCTGTCAGGTTGTTTGCCTTTCTATGGTTCTGAAAGGTTATAAAACCCTGAATTCTGGCTGAAGCTGATTTATTTTAGATTATGAATGGGAATATGTCATTTGAAGAGATATGATTGCTTATTATTTAATAAGCAATCCGCTGTAGTTCTTCAGCTGTCAGCTCTGTAGGAGAAGTGAAAATGACCTGTCACCAGCTCACAGAAGACACCTGGAAAACTAAATGACTGATCACAGTAAGGAGATGCTATTTAATGTTCAGATGTTATGTCAACCTGCCTGTATGCAGTGCAGTTGAAGCTAACAGGAACAGAAGAGTTCTCAGTTGCACTTTGCTGGAAGTGAGCATTTAGCATATGTTGTGCTGGTTTCCTGTTTCCAGCTGTAATCTCTAAGTGTGGTACTGAAGTCATGATACTACATGTTTTGTTTCTTCTTTATCTCATGCATACAAGACACCCTGGTGTTTTAAGTAAGCGTAGAGAAGTTGGTGTGTGATTTCTTGAGATTTAGTTTGGGCTATGTTCTCCTTTCTCTCAGATCTCTTAACTTCTTAACCCCTCTGAGAGAGAGTGTGTTGGAGTTACAGATTTTCCGATAGCTTCTTCACTGTGTATTCAGAAAGACTGTTTGTGAAGGGAGAGGAAAGTTGTCAAGTTGTGAGAGGGGCAAGTGCACCATGTCTCCAATAGGATGGGGGTGAGCTATTTGGGCGCTTGAAAGGCCTAGATTCTCTGAAGGTAAAGAGAGTGGAGAGGAGGGAGGGAAAGCCTGTATTTTTGGGTGACAGCAGAAGTGACATCAGACTTTTCACATTGAGGATAACTGTCGTAAGTGTTAAACGCAAGACCATGTCTCCTGGGGAAGTTGTTCTTCTGAAGTTAGATGGGGGAAGAGCGTGGTGTGTTAGAACTGCTGCTAGCCTTACAAGAAGCCATTCTTGGCTACTCCAGGTTTGTGAAACATATGTTGATGATTTCTAGAAATACATTCAGAAAAGGTGTAGTTAAAGAAATAGGTGATTAATAACTCTTGATGGTTATAAGAAGTTTATATGTTTCAAGAAACTGGAATTCCTTCATCGACTTTTTACAAAAGTCTACCCACTAATGACAAAGGAAGAATATTGAAGAATCTGATTTGCAGTGTAACTTTATCTTTAGCACGTTTCTAGCTTCTTACTAGATAAACCATTGCCAGCTTGAATGCCTATGTAATGCATGGTTTAAAGAACCTGTGGTGGCTGAGAGCTCTAAACCAGCCATACTCTGACTGTCAAGTGAGGTTTTGTGCCTTCTCTACTTGGCTTGTGTGTGTTCTGGCTGCTTTTAGGGTAATGGTGCTTGTTTGAGC